TGGAGAGTGCCAACAATTTAATGAAAAATTTATGCTTGTTTCATTTTGCATGTATACCTTATGTTATCAATTATGGTGCCTTAGTTTTTATAATATGAGCTAGAATGCATTCAGCAGAGAGCACTGCTCATAATATGCCCACACATGGAATTTTTGGAGGCCTAGGCATGCCCAAAATTGCTTGACAACATGAAAATATTTGTGAGTGCACTTTTAGCAATATTATTACTATCCATAAGCTAAGGAAACCTTGACCTTCCATTCTTAGCATATGCCACGATCTGAGACATGCACTCACTTTTGTGACCTTGCTCTGTTGGACAGATTTAAGAACAGTTTTACAACATCCTCTTCGATTAGCATATGTATATGAGAAATAATTATAGATTACGTTGATAGTATATATAATTATATGGATATTTCATTGAATTCTTGTAATAAATGATTCAGCCATAGGACCACAAAGTTTTATAATAAGGTACCTATCTACCAATCATCAGTTGTTGACCCAGATCAGCTTGCTAACAGCCTCCAGGATGTCTTTAGGGGCATCCTTCCATCTTCTTCCTGGATGTTAGAGAAGATGTTCTGTGATGGTCAGAGGGAGGGGTTTAAACCAAGATGCATCTTGAAGACAAGGTTGAATGAAGAAACTGATACAGTAAAGAAGCTTACTGAGGAGAGAGATTCCTTCAAAACTGCAATACAAATTGTTTCAAAAGATTTAATGAATTTGTCTGACAATAGGCTAATATCCCATTCCAATCAGTTAAGTAATGAAAACAGGTCTCGGTTAAAAAATGTTTCTGGCGGCCAGAGGAAACCTTGAGATCCACCTCAACATGTCAACCATCAGAATCGTTTTGAGCCCCTGAGACAAGAGGATTCAGTGAAAGATTCTACACCTTCTAGTAATGCAGATAAGTTATTCACAGCTGTCTTGCTGGATGATTCTATGATAAAACAAATGCAGGGATGGAGGCTAGGTAGGAAAGTAGGCCATCATGTAGTTGTTAAATCTTTCCCTGGTGCAACCACCAGAAATATGAAACTACCTGATGCCTACCATTGACAAGATCCCTCAACAGATTATTCCCATGTGGGAACGAACTACCTAGTATGTGACCATACTCCAACCGTGGTGGCTGAGAACATTGTAGACCTTGCCAGGAAAATTGAAATGAAATCTAACGCTGAAGTTGTCTCATTGGAGTTGTGTCAAGATCACACAATGTTCCAAACAATGCTGTGAAAGTTGTTAACAAGAGCCTTATGAAATACTGTAATCAAAATGACTGGAGAATGATTAAGCATCAAAACATCGACAGAAATTGTCTAAATAAGAGTGGACTACATCTAAATGAAAAAGATAATGACATCCTTTTTCGTAATTTTGTGAATGCCTTAGATGATAGCTCCATGCAATAAATTCCTCTTTCCACAGGAGCCAATCAAACCTCTGCAGCCAAAGAAAATTTCAATTTCATCTAGGGCCGATGAAATTTCTGTAGTGAAAGAGAATTCAAATTTGTGTCACGAGTCTTCTGCCTTTTTACCTTCAATGTGTGGCTTTAAATTAGCCTCCTCAAAAATTGCAAGCTTGCTGAAACACATTAACGAGCTGAGAGTTTTGCTCTCTGATAACCCTCTTGATATATTATCTATTAATGAGACGAGGCTCGATGAGGTTTACATTCCTGGTTACGATATCATTGGCCACAATTGTGAACATAACAGTAGATTTGGTGGGGGAGTTTGCATCTATGTTCAACCTAATGTGAATTTCTCTTTACGCCCTGATCAAGTGATATACATCTTGAAAATGTATGCATTGAGATATGTAAACCTTGATCTCAACCCTTTCTTATTGCTACCTGGTATAGGCCTCCTAATTCATCAACTGAGATATTTTCTCATTTTGAATCCTTTGTTGGCAAACTTGACATAGAGAACATTGAGTTTTATTTAATGGGTGACTCTAACTGTAATTTGGCTTCTCCACAACCTGATATCAACATAGTGTTGTTAACCAATATTTTTTATATTTATAATCTTCACCAACTAATCAATAGTCCAACTTGCATTACTAATGCACCTTCTACTCTGATCGATGTCATTTTGCAAATTGTCTTCATAATATTGTTTCCGCTGGTGAGTCCCATGTAAGCCTTAGTGACCATAGTCTCGTCTATGTATTCTGTAAGATCTCCATCAATTCATCAGAAGGCCATTCTACAATAACTTATAAGAAATTCAGCAATTTTGGTTCTGCCAGGTTTTGGTATATTTCAACACAAGATTGGGACAGGGTAAACAGTTATGATGACCCAAATGTTATGTGGGACATTATTGGAAAATAATTTTTTTCAATGTGTCGATAAGCATGCCCCACTGTGTACAAAACACATTCGCGCATCTAAATCACCCTGGATCACACCTCAGTTGAAGAGAAGAATGCATTAGAAAGATGTTCTTAAAGTGAAGGCCATTCTTTCTGGGAATGCATGCAACTGTATGCATGATATTTAAAAAATGTCATAATGCTGTAAACAGTGAAATTAAACAAGCCAGGGAAAAATTCTTCAAAAATGTGTTGAATGAAAACGAAGGTAATTCCAGTATGACTTGGCAAATAATTGATAAATCTACTTTGAGAAAAATCCACAGTTCTTCTGTAAAAGAGATTAAGTTAGATAAAAGTAGTATTAGCGATCTGCTGGAACTTTTGTCTGCTTTTAATGATCATTTTTCTAGTATTGGACTGAAACTTATCGATACCATCCAACAGAGTGGAGACACTCTGTCTTACTTAGATTATGTTAAGGAGACCAAACATAGATTCAAACTCAAAACCACTGACTGTTCAACAGTTTTTCTTTACTATCTAAACTTTGTACATCTAAAGATCTAAAAATCTAAAGATCTAAAAATCTCGGCATGACCTCTTCAAGAGTGTGCTGATCTGATCACAAGTTCCCTATCAGCCATTTTCAATAGATCTATTGTATCTGGTGTTTTTCCTACTGAGTGAGTAAATGATCTACCAAACTGTCTTGTTGACTCACATCCCAGAATATATGCGGATGATATTCATTTGACCTTTGCCAGTAATGATATTGCGTATCTAGAGGAAAATATGAACAATGATCTCATTAAAATTACTGAATGTTTATCAGCAAATAAACTCACTCTTAATAAGTCAAAGACTGAGTTTATGTTGATTGGTTTAAGGAAAAGGTTAAATACTTTAAATAGACTCCCGTCTTTTTCTATTGACAGTAATTCTATAAAACAAGTAGAATCTACAAAATCCCCTGGAGTATATATAGATGAAAACCTAACTTGGGACGTGCATATCAAACATATTTCCAAAAAAACTGCCTCCTGCATTGGCATCTTGAAGAGAAGCAGATCTTTTGTTACTTTTGAAACACTCCTATGGATCTATAATGCCTTAGTTTGACCTCATTTCGATTACTGTAGTGCTGTATGGGAAAATTGCAATAAATCTCTCTCCATTAAACTACAAAAACAACAGAATTGCGCTGCACATATTTTGACCTCTTCTTCATATGATCAGATGCCAATGCGGATGATCTCCTAGTTAGACTAGGCTGGCAAAAACTTTATCTTCAACAAGGAAACAGCCACTATATGGTCTATAAATCTCTTAATGATCTCACCCCTGATTATCTGAAATCACTGTTTGCTGATTGGAGTGCAATATCTAGCTATTCTCTTAGGAATTGTGAGGGCAAACTAGATCCACTCCCCCACACCAATTTTCTAAAAAACAGTTTCAGCTATAATGGTGCGGTGATCTGGGACAGCTTACCTACCAATCTGTGGCAAGCACAAACTATAACTAGTTTTAAATCCAGTTGCAGGGGTTTCCTTTTTAGTAATAAATAAGTTAATTAATCACATGGCATTCATGGAAAGCAGGCACTTCATTATAGTTTTTATTTTGTTGTTATCAGATTTAATTAGTAGTAGATTAGTATCTTAACAATGAATTCCATGCAATTTTAGTAATTACTTTAAGTCCTAATGTTTTATCCGTGTATAAATAAACTTAAATAAATAATAAATAAAATAATTTTGCCATGCATATTGTGCGGCTTTTCTTTTAACCACAGGAATTAGATGGACCAAATATAAGTAGGGCAGGGAAGAAGCTTACCCTAGATCCACTTAAATGGAAAAGATCAAACCGATTATATTCAAATTCTTCCATTGATGTTGACAGGAATTGCTGTGGATTGCTGTAAAGCCATTGACAGTTATCTCTGTTACAGAAAGATGGCTGAACAGGCATGCACTAATTCGTATACAATAAAACTGCTGTTTGTTTTGTTTCAAAACTTTTATAGTTAACTTTTAATTGACTTTGATTTTCTAAAGTCAAATAAGCTAGGTTATAATGTGAATAAAATATTTGGGTTGTTGCCAGACTTGAAATTTGTGAGTGTGTTTTGAAAGATCTTCACATTATTGACAGATGCTTGCATAATATGATAATGAACCATAGTATATTGAAGCATTTTTGGTTTTCATTTGAATTTTCATTTTTGTCTTGGCTAATTCCTATAACTTGACATGTTCTGCATACAATTAAATCATCATGAATTATGTGAAATGAAACTGTTTATGTTCCAATACATACACACTGATCAGAGCACTGAATCAGAGGTTAACTTAAGTGTTTCCATATTTGAAAAAGCTCAAACCATCAGAAATTGGTAACCTTAAATCTCAAGCTATTTTTTTTAATTTTTAATTTTTAATACTCATGTAATGTAGTAGTTACTAATTATTTTCTTTAATTCTTATGCTTACTTTATTATATCTTTTGAATAACTTTTTCTTTCACTTATTTATTTTTTAACACAATCTAAAATGATTTGATGATCAAATGCAACCTCATTTCACTTTTAAAATTAACCTTTGCTTTGTCAGTACTACACTATATGTATAGAGTCCATATATTTTCATCAACATGGTTATACCCTGAAGCAAAAGCAAGAACTGTTTACTTTTACGATCTCCTCAGTTGAAACACTTGTGCAAAGTGAATAAGCAAAAGCAAAGATAAAACTTTTAAGTTCTCACTATGTTAATAAACTTTAAGGAGAGTAGAAAATGTTTTTCCATGCACTCAAAGACACTTAAGAAATTAGTTGTTGGTTATTGTGCAAATATCATAGTATCCTAACAACAGTCTAATCACACGAGCATTGTGATGCCCTGTATATTTTACAACGTTAATCAAGATTCTCCTGTCAATTACAAAGCCAAGAGCAAACTTAAGTCTGATTTTGAAAACCACTCAGAACAAACTGTCCACAGTCCAACAAAAACTGAACAGCGGCTTAGAGCAAAATACATTATTCTATGATGATTTACTACTGCACATTTCAAATAACCCCTTATAGTTGAAAATAATTCACTTGATTGGCAAACATTGTCATCGGCTATGGACAGTGGTGAGGATCTTCACAACTTTATAAGGGTAACTCTATTAATATACTAATACAGTCATGCATAGTCATGGTCTCCATATATCAAGAAATAGGCAGGAAAAGATATCTTCAAAATCACAGTGTAAGGAAAATTTACTGAATGAACAAAGGTATTTTTATCATCGTCTTTACAATTGTAACTGTTTACAAAACAGTGGATTCCAACTTGAAAGCATTCTGTGCACACAATGTGAGTAGTAATATGAGTCGGTATAGCGTCAAACCAATCAAAATCGAGAATTTGGGTCACGTGATCAAAATGAACCAATCAGAAGGCCGGATTTTCACATTCCATTCTGATGACGTATCCAGAACCGCGCGGGCGCTTGGTGACGAGTTTGTGGGTAATGGAGAGGTGCGCGGGTGTTCTTGGGAACGAGTGTGGCTCGTCCGCGTGCGCGCGTTATCTGATGAGGCTACATCAACAACGCAGACTCGAATGACGTCAAAATAAATCTTTTATTTACGAATAAAAAAATTTTAAATGATTAACAATAACATCATTTCAATATTATAAACAATGTTGTTTTGCGGAAGAGGAGACGGAAGAGGCGTGAAAATTACTCAGATCCAAACGATCTGTAGTACGAATCATGAAATCATGAAGTTTGGCAACGGTAGAATGATCTCCTTTTTGATAAACCATGAGAATCATCTCCTTCTGGAAGCAGACTCTAGTGCTTTGTTTACAAGAAATGAGGCACCTGTTCCTGCAGCGGCCAAACCAATAGCTTTACCTCCAGCGATGAAGGCAGGAATGAATGCTGCTAGTGGTAGAATACCTCCTTTCTGTCTTCTTCGTTTTCTTTTCCTTGCTCTCCACCTGTTTCGTAGCGCGTTTCTTCCTCGTGCCATCTCTCTTTTGGGAAAAAATGATTAGTGTATGGGGAATGTGTGAGAGTTTTATAGGAAAAATGTGACGCAAGTCACCATATGCACAAAACCGTCAGAATTCTTCCAAATCATCACAGACGATCAAAATGTGATACATAGAATTGAAAAGTCCAGGAAAAAAAATCCTTCATTTCAACAGCATGAAAGATCTAGTCTTGAACGAAATATTAAACCCTGAAGAAGATCCATCAAAGTGGTGGCAGTGATTACTCCATGGAAATCGAACATTTTCGTAGATGAATGTAAAGAACGAAAATTTTTTATTCTTCATTACACATTCTTTCGAAACCACTATATATGGCTTTGTCCCAAGGATTATGGGAAATGTCTCTTAGAAAACTTATAATAGATCTGATGTAATATTCTTTGTTCCAAAGTTCAAGTTCAAGTTTATTGATTTTTTTCTTTGTAGTGTTTTTTAAGGTTGGAGTAGTCATCTTTAAGTTTTTTTGAACAGTTTTTTAACTCTTTTGTAGTTTTTTTTTGTTACTCCTCGTCATGATTGAAGAGCATTAATGGGGGAGAGCGGATGTTTTCACCTTTCTTTACCCACTTTGTCCACAATCTTTTGAAGGGATTTATCTTTGATACAGGCAGACTTTTTGTAGGTTGAATCATATGATATTTTTCAATAACAGTGTGATGATACCACGGTTGATTTATCCAATGTTTTACGGTTTCTTCGTTGGGTTCAGCTGTTTGGTAGAAATTTATCCTGAATGTAGAGGTGTCTTTTTGTCCAGGGATGATGAGGAAATAGGTGTGTTTTACTTCAATGTCTTTATCGTAGAATTTACAGTAGTAAATTTGAAGATCAATGTCCATGCTGTTGTTGTTCTTGTGATTTAGATTCGGGGAGTGAAGATGCATTTATAGCCGTAGGGAAATGATTGAAAGGTGTCATGATCGATGACTCGTTTATCAAAAACGAGTTTGTATTTTTTATCTTGCGATACTGTTTTGATGGTTTTGGTGGCTGCACATCTCGTGATTTTGTGCGGGTTGTGGAGTGTTAATGTGCGTTGGTCATCTTCTGGTTGTAGTATTTCACTCAATACCAAGTTTTTCATGTTAATGAAATTAATGATTTTTTGTCCTCGTTCGTTGAGCGTGAATCCTCTGACTTTGCAGCATTGTTTTCCTTTGAAAGTGTTGTAGGCATAATTTTTAGGTCCTGCAGCTACAAATTCTGTAATGTGATCTCCATCGTCGAGTACATTGGTGAATTCGCCGAGATAATTGCCAGTGGGTATTGAAGATTCTGTGGGTTTTTGGGTATAGATGACAGAATCTGTATCCATGTACAATACTCTTTCTTTCAAGATGTCTAGAGCATCGTATAGTTTCAGTCGCGCATAACTCGTCGTAAAGCAGGCAATAAAGATGTTGACATTGGATTGAACTGGGTCGCATACTTCTTGAAATGAGTGAAACACTTCTATCATGTGTTCATTAGCAATTTTGAAGAAATAGAAGTAGAGTCAATTTGGCTCAAGATTCGGCCGCACCGTCTCCCCAGGTGCACTTCATCACTATTGGTTGCTGCTCTATACCTCCCTCCAAGCAGTTCTGCTGAACAGGTTTCTAAGCTAATAGCTCATCTAAAAAAAAAGAACACTGAAAATTATTTACGAAGACACCCTGAGGGAATGTTGATTATAACTGGTGATTTTAACCCAACGTCTACACGAATTAAATCATCCGACAACAGGCAACAGGATTGCGGAACGATTGTAACTGTGCCTACTCGGAATGATTCTATTTTGGACTGGTGTTTTACCAACAAGCCTAATCTGCTATCGAAACCAGGTCAGTTACCCAAGATTGGATGTGGTGATCACAACGCTCTACTGATTAAACCATTAAATAGTAATCAATTCTCAAATTTGAGGACTAAATCCCAAATGTTGCGGGATACCAGGGCCAGTCGTCTAAGGGCTTTTGGGCAATGGATAACAACTTATGATTGGACAGCAATCTTAAACATCTCTGATGTGCAATCAAAGTTTGACCTTCTACACAGTTGCCTGATGAAGGCAGTAAACACATTTTTTCCTGCCAAGAAAGTTAAAATCTCTGCATCTGATAAACCATGGATTACCTCTGCAGTGAAATCTTCGATTGCACAGCGCCAAAAAGCTCTTGTTAAATGGGGGAAGTCTTCTGACAACTACAAGCGGCTTCGGAATAGAGTCCAGGAAGAGTGTTCTAAATGTAAGAAACGTTTTTATGAGAACAAAGTATCTGGTCTACAAGACTCAAATATTTCTCGATGGTGGAAGGACATCAAAGATTTGGGTGGCCTTTCGGTCTCTGGTGATTTGTCATCTCAGCTGATTGGGAGTGACATACCTGATGAAGCTACACTAGCATTAAAGTTTAACGAGTTTCTTGGTAGCCTAACGGCACACTTTCGTCCATTAGAGCCTCTTTTACCGGTATTTGGGCCGGTGCCTATGCACCTGTATGTCTCAGAGTGTACCGTTTATAAGACCCTACGAGCATTAAAGGTAAAGAAATCATCAGGTCTTGAGCAGATCCCGAATATTGTTTGGAAAGAGTTTGCTTTTGAACTTTCTCCTGTGCTTGCTGATTTATACAACTCCTCACTTGAACAGGGTTATGTTCCAGCACAACTGAAACACGCTGTTGTGGTCCCTGTCCCGAAGTGCCACCCCCCCCCTCCCCAAGATCTGTTGAAAGTGACTTAAGGCCAGTGTCATTAACTTCACCAATAGCCAAAGTACTGGAAGGCTTCACAGCTAAGTCCCTGCTCACCTGTGTCTGGAGCAAGTTGGACAGTAAACAGTTTGCTCTCCCAGAAAGATCCACCACGCAGGCATTGGTATATTTACTTCACACAATTTTGGAGACGATTGACCGTGTTGAGATGTATGTCAGGTTGTTTTTTTCTGACTTCTCTAAGGGATTTGATCTTGTGGATCATAATGCTCTACTGCATGAACTGGATAACCTGGATGTGGACCCACATTTGATGAGGTGGATTGCTTCCTTCCTCACAAATAGGAAACAGTGGGTGAGGGTGGGGACGGTGCTGTCCCCAACAATACAGTTGAATGGTGGAATTCCCCAAGGAACTAAATTGGCCCATATCTTGTTTTGTATTCTTGTGAACAGTATGGCCTTTAATTGTAACAATAGAGTTAAATATGTAGATGACGCTACAGTTATGGAGTTTGTCCCTAGGCTTTCTCCTTCATACTTGAATTTTACTGTGTCCGAAATTTACTCGTTTACTTCCTCTAGGGGAATGGTTCTCAACAGCAAGAAGTGCAAAGAAATGTGCATTACGTTTTTACAGTATTGCCCGTTTTCGCCACCCCCTTTAGCTGTTGGTAATTCTAAAATAGAAAAGGTTTCCTGTTACAAGTTGTTGGGGGTACACTTATCAGATAACTTAACGTGGAACGAGCATGTATTTCATATTGTAAAGAAAGGAAACAAGAGGTTATATGCAATACGTGCTCTTAAGAAGTGTGGTTTAACTGATGGGCAGCTTATCTTGGTCTACTGTAGCATCATCAGATCTGTCTTGGAGTGTGCAAGTCCTGTATGGGCTGGCCTCACGCAGTACTTGAATGATCAAATTGAGTCGGTTCAAAAGAGGGCTCTAAAAATCATTTTCCCGTTTATGAGTTATGAGGACACGCTTAAGAAGTCAGGCGTAATTAATCTATGCCAGAGGAGGGAAGATGCGTGCGTCACTTTCCTTAAGCGGAGTTACTACTCTTCTCACCTACTACAAAATTTAGTACCGCGATGTCAATTTTCAAGACCATATGCCCTTAGGGCAGGAAGAACTGTGTCTGTACCTACCTCCTCAAGATCTATTAGATTTGGAAATTTTTGTACTATTAAATATCAGAATCATGTGTAATATACTTAACTGCAATTTATCTTATTACTTATAGTATTTAATGTTTACACAATATTTAATATTTATATTTAATTGATATCTAAAATAGTTCTATGTATACATAATGTAGAAGTATTTGTAAATTATGACCCGCCTTGTAATTCAGTTTCTACTGCAAGAAGGCTGAATATATGATCATCATCAATTTCAATTCTGTGAACGACTTGTCTATCGTCTGTTATTATTTGAAAGAATTCGCTTGGTTTGGTGCATGTGGTTACTTGGGTTTGGTTGTGGTGTTGCCCGAACTTTCCCCAGAAAGAATTGAGCATTAATTTAGTTAGGGAACGTAGACCTGGGTTTTTTTCGATTTGATTAGGGTCTAGTTCAATGCCTTCATGCTCTTGATAGTCATGCAGATAGTTCTTTTTTTTTCTCATCGGTATCACATTCTGCGGGCCATCCTGAAGCTTCTTGCTTGATTTTCATGAATGTTTTTATGCATGGTTGAAACAGCTGGTTTGATCGTTCTTTAAAGTGCCATATTTCGTACCTGTAAGCGATGACGTAGCCTTTTTCAATGGCTTTTTGAAGTTCGAAGGTGGTCCAGGTACCTGTGAGGGATCGTTCCTCAGCAGAATGGGGGCACTTTTCGCTTCTTTTGTTGTTTGTGGGCAGTTGTTTTATCTGTTGTTGCGCGCATGTTCTGCATAGTGGAAACAGGAGTTTGGAGTCGTATCTGTATGGTAACACAGGATGATATAGTTCGTAGGGGGGTAAAATTTTACATTTTACCAATCCGTAATATTTGGAGATATCTATGGTCCCGGGTTGATCAATGAATTCAGGGTGACCAATAGGGTACTCACATTCTGGGTTTGCGCATGGGTACAACGAAATCATATCGCTGTATTTGATTTGTTTGTTTTCTTCAACTTTATGGTGAAGTTTGATTACGTTGGTTCTACCACCAAAAAAGGCTTCGCGAGGGTTGAGAGGTGTGACAATGTCGACTGTATCGATAAATTTTTTCAGTTGAGGATCTGTTCGTATCATGCGATTCCAATCGCATTCCCACATCTCTTTTACATGGTATCCCAATACGGTCAATTGCTCGATTTTTGTTCTAGTTTCTTCTCGCACATCTCGCATGGTTTTATTTTGGTGAATGGGATGTCTCATGGTGCGATTTGGAAAACACTTGAGACACCCATGGTAGAAACACCCTTGAAATTCATAGACGGTACGTGTTTATTCGTCGTATCCATCTACGAGAAATCTTTGAGATCCATGCATCAGTGTTCTTTCACCTTTGTTTCGGGGCAGGAGATTGGTTTTGATCAGTTTTTTTCTTCCCAGTAGAGCCATGTTAGGGCAGCACAAGATTGGATGTGATGGGAAAGCCATCCACGTACCGGTCGTACGGCGATTTTGTTTTCAGGCATCCATTTTTTGCGGTATGCCACATTGCAGGCAGAAGTGATAGTGATACAATGTTCCATAGGGTTGAAGTCGACAATATCTTTGAATTGGGATTGAAAGGTCATGCACCCTTGTTTGAGGAGTCTTACATCTGATTGACAATAGGTTAAGAGTTCATGTTGGAAATTGAAAATGTATCTTTCAGATACTTTTTCGTCATACCACTTGTGGAATTCATCTTTGCGCGCTGTGGACATTCCGTCGGGGTCGTAGTAAGATTTGTCAGGCATGTACCCAACATAGTTTTGATTTTGCTGCGTGTTGAAGAAATGGGGAAAAGACCCTTTCTTTAGTTCATGAATTCCAAATGTTTTTGGAAAGTTCGACAAAGCCATGGGAAAAAAGTTCATGGAGTCGATGAATTTTATATGGGGCAAGTCTAAACTGAGTATCTTGGCTCCATTGACGATTTGCGTGAGATTGGTGACGTGTTGCTTGTAGAGTTCTTCGAGCATGAAGTACCCGTCATAACCTTTGAAGTTGTGCGCCACTACGATCACCTTTTCAACGTCTTGATTGGCTATGGTGTGAATCCAATATATAAATTGTTGTATGCAATCTTTACCTTGGAAGGTAAATTGTGTATCGTTTTGATCGGTTTCTGCGCACACCAGATTAGCGATGTGATTTCCGGTATCTTGTTGCGCTTCAATGTCAAAATAAACGAACACGATGTGTTGTTCTTTTTCATTTTTTCTTTTCTTTTTCTTTTCATGTGTGATGGGTTGAAGGAAGCACCTCTGTTGTAGAATGTTGACTTCTTTGGAACAACTGGGGCAGTATTGTAATCCGCAATGTTTCATGTGTTCTTGAGCTGTTGATGTGAACACATGTAAGCAAATAGAACATTTTTTGTGTGATTTGCATACATATTTTTCAAGGGGTGCTACCAGTTGTCCATTGGCTTTGAGAATGGGGTGGTTCATTTGACACGTGACTCCATAGAAATGACGATTACAGTTTTTGCATGGTAGTTCTGGTTTTTTGGTGTGTTTGAATAGTTCGTAGTCACGGCAATGGGATTGAAGACAGGCGTCACGTTTAGTTTTGCGACATGTATGGTGACTATAGTCTTCTACAGCGTAGGCTTTTTCGCATTGAAGACAAAACTAGACAGAATAAAAAAATCCAGGGAGTTTGGTGATGACATCAAAATTACCATCATGCATGAGTAACACGATTTGTTTGTTACTTTGGGGTCCTTTATGAACAATGGCGTGTCCATGTTCGGCGGAGACGACAACGAATTGATATTCGTTCAAGATGATCTCGAACAGTTTGATTTGTTCTAGTCCTCAGGGTCTAATAGGTACGCGCGCTTCTTCATGTAGGGTTTGCACCAATTTTTTTTGTAATGGGCAATGAGAGTCTTTCCCCAGTTTTAATTGTGGATCCTCATCCGCTATGGCTTTAGCCACTAAAATGGCTCGTGCACAGCAAAGTTCGTCATTGTTCATTATTCGTATCACAGATCATTTGGAATGAAGAAATTCTCCGTAATTATCTGTTCCAAAACAATGTCGTTTGCGTTTTCCTTTGGGGAGACCGCTTCCGGGTGGTGGCATAGTGATGTGTGTGACATCGAGTTGCAATGTATCATCCAAATCAAAGTTTTCGTTTGAATTGAGTAGATTTGAATTATTTTGAAGCACTTGTCTGGATGCACCCAATGGGTCACGCCATCGTTCGATGGAAACATTTGCTGAAGTATGAGAATTTCTGAGTCTGTTACTCCCAATATAGATTTGAATACGATCATGATTTGGTAATCCAACGATTAAATCTTGAATACTTCTAGCAAGTCCTTCTTCAAAAGCTCTTATAATATTCCCATGTCCAACAGGAAAGGTATCCTGTGGGTTTTGCACTTTTAAATGATATGAAGTGCGTTTGATACCATAACTCTTGGCGTTTTTTTCTCTGAATTGGGTTCGTTTGAAATTGAAGTATCCTTCACGATTTGAAACACTACCACCGCCACTTTACCCTGTCCGTTCAAGATCTTCTACAGCTCTTAACAATTCTTCATCAGAAATATCTTCTTCTTCTTCTTGTTTATCCATGTTTGGGGAAAAACTGATGAATTCCGCCAGCAGATGTTACGTATTTATAGCGTCAACTTATCACGTGTGGTATGACGTCAATTTACCTTAATTGGTAACATGGTATAGGGGTACCCCCCATCCCCCTGTCATGTGATACCACATGGAAGCGCTATGGGGTGTACTATAGGAGGTGGATCATTTTTTGGTACCAATCAAAAAACAATGTCTCTTACAATTTGGCTTTGTTGCTTTATTCTTGTGTTTATTCTATTGTTATATTTGAATTCTGTCTGCCTTGAGCAAGAAAGGTGTTGCTGTTACTACTGTATAGTTGAAGAATGTTGGCCTAGAGACGTGTGTTAAACGAGAGCCCCTGCAAAAATCTTACTCCCTTCAAAGACAATGGACAAAATCGTGGCGCAGTGCGTGCTGAGGGGAGTGACTTTAACATGGACGAAGTAGCGGCGTACAACTCTGAGTTTGACGAGATGTCTACGCAAGCTACAAGCTGATGAAGAAAATTGGACCCGTTGGCCAGATCTGATAGAACATTATCATATGGTACAGGCCAAGAGTTTTTTCAACATCGTTGAAAGGATGGAAGAGAATCTTGACCCAGAACCGCCCGTGGGATTTGGCATTTACAAGACATTTTCGAACATTGATTTCTGCAAGTTTGAAGAATTTTATTCAAGAACTGAATGGGACAATTTACTTTTTAAGTTGAATAAGATTCACTCTTATTATTTAAAGAATAAGGATGTCATTTCAAAGTTAAAGTTTAGTAAACATTATGTATATCCGTTTCAAACACGTTCACATTTTGATTAATAAAAGACGTTGAAAAAAAGAAAAGAAAGAAATGTATTTACAGTTGAAAAATATTTACAGTTAAATAAAAAAAGTTTTAAAACCTGCCATATTCTTTGAATAGTTTTTGCAGTTGTTCATTTTTCTTGGTAAATCCTACATCTGCCCATTGAAAGAATCGACATCCACCCTTATTGCGGCAAGCAAAAAAAGGTCTTCCTGGGTTTTGAGGTGAATTGCTTACTTTGAGGGAAGCCTGATTATTACATTCACACATTACAGTTCCTTTGAGTTTCCTGTAGGTGTCGTACACTTTTCTGTTGAGTACACCCATATAACTGTTTTGCTCGTTTCTGTGCGTGAACACTCCACACTCCCTAGAGAAAGGGAATTTCATGTACCATTCCATATTGGACATGGCTTGAAACAATTCCAAATTGCAGAGATGAAAGAGACAAATGTTAAGATCATACTTCTTCTCATCCATGATGGTGACCGTTGTAGGTGACACAGTTGAATAAGAAGAAGTGAAAGTTGTTGAAGAAATGTCAAACCCCATTTCTTTCAACAATTCGTTGGGTGCAAAGGCAGGAGTCGTCTGTAATTGCGAAAGAGTTGATGGCGGCGGCATATTTTCTTTCTTTTTATGTTTTTTGTGCTTTTTTTTTCACTTCCACTGCTGCTGACGTTACCGTTTGGTATGGTGTCTACCATTTTTTGTAAAGAGTTGATGGGTGAATAATCTTGCATGTTAGTGGCCATGATGATTAAAAAAGGAAGAAAATAAAAAATGTTTTTTCTTTTATGGTGTTTTTTCGTTGACGTCACCATCGATTTCATCCAATCCACCCATGAAACGTTCGTCAGGTGTGATTCTCTTCCAATCGAAGATGATGTCAATATCTTGATGGGTGAATCCTAGACATCCGTAAGAAAATGCCAATTCTTCTGTTTTGAATGACAGCAATTCCTCCAATAGCAATCTGCTGCTGCTATTTCCAGAGATCATGGTTTTGACAAATTCCATGTCTTCATGATTCCAAATAGGATGATACACACCTCTTTATCTGAGGATTTTGACCCATTCGTCATAGATATCATGAAACTTGACTTCTTGAAGTCTACGTTCGAGTTTGTAACCCATTTCATCGACATATTATAATCTTTGCATGGAAAAAAAGGGATGAATGGATGGTTCGAGTCCTTTCTTTTTATGAATGGTTTTCAAGATAGCTATTACCCAGCATCTCTTCCAATGATGATTGGATACTTGTTCTTTGAAAAATTGACGTTCCCGTTTAAAGAAATCGGTTTGGGTGGCTACAGTATTGACGTTCATTATTTCAGGATAACACATGGAAAAGAATGAGAATTTTTTGTTTTCGATTTATATAAATAGCTCTGCTATGGTTTTCATTGGTCAGATTAGGAGATAGAACGGATAGGGAAAGAGTGGTTATGGCGACGTATTTATCAAAACGAATTGAATGGTCGAGATTCGCTTGTTCCTCGAGAAGAATTGGAAAAGGTGAAAACCAAAGAAAACGCGGATGAATTATTTGATTATTTGATCAATGACCCTGACCTTGAGAGAGAATGGAATTTTGGTGTATTCATTGTACACATGGAGGGAATGAGAGAACAGTTGAGAGGAAGAGATTTCGAACAACATGAAGAATGGGTATTTAATACCCATCCTGATAAGGTACCATCATTCAAGGAGTTAATGAGAGTCGTTTTAATCGTATTTGTGAGATGCTGCACTAAAGTTTTACTGTGAGAAAAAAAGTCATGGTGGCAAGCAGGAGAAAGAAAAAAAGGTTGGATAAGGAAAAGAAACTAGAACAAATGGTATTGAAGACCTATTATGACTTTTCTAATCGGGGTAGTTATGGTGGATTGGAAAGGTTACACAAAGCTACAGGTGTACCTGTCAAAAAACTCAAGGGTATCACCCGAAAGAATTTAATATACTCTTTGCATAAACCGGTACAAAGACGATATACAACAAATCCAACGGTAGCTAATAGTATAGATCATCAATGGGCAGCCGATTTAGCAGATATGAAAAATTTAAGTAGATACAACAAGGGGATAAAATATCTCTTAACGGTTGTAGATGTTTTAAGTAAATACGCCTGGGTGGTTCCTATGAAGAACAAAACCGGCGCAGAACAAAAACGTGCTTTTGAGTCTATTTTAAAAAAGGGTAGAAAACCGTTACGTCTATAAACAGATAAGGGAAGTGAATTTTACAACAAACCGTTTCAAGAATATCTCAAACAGAAAAAGATCACTCATTTTAATACTCAAAGCGATACAAAAGCTTCTGTGGTAGAAAGATTTAACAAAACCCTCAAACAGAGGTTGTATCGAGCTTTAACAGCTAATGCTACTCGAAAGTATCTGGATTTTTTACCAGATTTGGTCAAGGGTTATAACGCATCTGTACATGATGCTACGGGTGTAGCACCTAAAAATGTCACCATGTATAACGATGTAAAAATATGGAAGAAATTGTACAGTAAGAAATTATTCGGTGTACCCAGTAAAAATTAAAAAAAGCCAAGATTGAAGGTGGGAGATAAAGTCATGTTGAGTAAGGTTCGTAGAACCTTTAAAAAGGGGTATTTACCGGGATGGACAGAGGAAATATTCATCGTAGATAGAGTATTAAATACCTATGCACCATCTTACAAGATCAAAGAATACGATGAAACTCCTATCAAAGGTACGTTTTATGAGGAAGAGTTGCAAAAAGTTGATATGGATGATTAAGATGCTTTTTTCCGGATCGAAAAAGTATTAAAGAAGAAGGACGGGAAAGCTTTGGTCAGTTGGAAAGGTTGGCCTTCCAAGTACGACAGTTGGGCAAACGAGAAAGAAATAGTCGATTTGTGAGAATCATGCTGGCCAATCCAGATACGTTTTATCTCACTATTCCTAGTGACGGGTATGGCAACATCTTTACAGACAATCATCCGGGTAAGTTTAAGGCAAAACTTGCCAAACAGATTTTATTACCAGGAAAACAATGGGAGGTGGCCTTGACGGGTATTTTGTTCCCATCAACCTCATTATCATCATCAACGGTCTACGACGATGTCAATTACGATCAACTGATATCCAAGGATTTCATGTGCGGTATTGAACTTGACTTGGATGCGAAAAACAGTAGTGGTGACAAAATCGGCAGTACATCGTGTTGGTTGAGAGGGCCAATGATGAAAGATGAATACCAGAGAAAAAGCAGTATTCGATTAGCTTCAAGGAATGGTGTGGATTTTTGTAATAGAATGTTCGCTCAATTGAATTACAAACTACATAGCACCTTGCCTGATGGATTGAGTGAATATTTCACAGAAAACTTTTACAAAAACGGAAGAGCAATACATTTCAAATGGCCAGAATTTGAATGGGAAAATGCCGGTGGTGCCTACAGATTAAAGATAAACAATGAAGGAGTCGTGAATGGGGATTACAAATGGTTGATGGGAAACGCCTTTTTAATCCATCTTGATATAGCTAAAGCATTCAGTTTGGTGATTCCTAAAAAAGATGGTGGAGGATACCAGCTTACTAGTCTTGTAAGTGCAGAACATTTCAGAGAACCCTTAAGTCATGTGAGTCTGGTGAACGGTGTTCAGAGATTATGGGAGATCGTGGATGGTGGAGGATCGTTTCAACCAGAAGGAACTGCAACCTCTTCAAAATTTTTGAAACTGAGTTGTGCAGTGAACTGGTACCTTTACGAAATCGATAATCGTGTCTATAGCAATTCTCTACATCAATTACGTCCCCTGTACGTGTACACAGATCTTATACAAACACAGATCGTAGGGAAATCAGAAACAGATCTTTTGAGAAAGGTCGAATACAACGGAGGCAAAATCATTTATGAACCTCAACACCTGCAGTTTCTTCCTGTAAGAAAAAATTCGTTTGATACCATAGAAATAGGAATTAGTGAAACAAATGGAACCTAAACCAGATTTTCTGGGGGTAACAGTGAGTCAACTGTAGTGTCACTATGTTTTAGAAAAGCAGGGTAGTTCTTGATATAAATAAAACTGTAACAATGAGAAACAGTCATTTGGGGTGTGTGTCTTGTTACGGTCGCCACAATGGATTTTTATCTGACATTATCCAGCAATGCAAGTACAAGGATTTACAAGGATAACAAACCTGGTAAATATACTGACAAATTACCCAAACAGATTTTTTTACCAGAAAATGATTGGGAGGTGGCGTTGGCTAGCATTTCTCTTCCTGATATGGCTCCCCAGGTGAATAAATTTATCGCCACAAGAAGACCCTTCTGGCTCAAGCGATGTTTTTTAGTAAGACATGTGATACGGACGGAGATGTGGAATTGCCTGTGATAAGATTGATAGACACAGGTACAGTCGATTCTAGTAAACCAGATAAGAATGGTAACCCATCAAAAGTATACATATGGTCCAAGGACAAATACGCTGGTGATCATACTCGTTATTACTGGGATCAAATAGTGAGTGAAATAGAATTGGATTTGCAAGAAGATTGCCAGGTCTTCACAAAAATATTGCAAAGTGGATATGATGTCTGGTCACGTTTTGCAAACTTGATCACCAATAAACTGTATGAAAACAGCAAATCTACTGTGAATGTCAAGAAATATCGCGATATTGCAGACGGTTAGTATGTGATCAACCCTAATGGGGAATCAGTGTTACAGAGAAGAAATTCTCTTACTGAATGTAAACATGCTGATGGAAAAAGTAAACTTCCTTTCTTTGAATGGGTACAGAATGCATACAAATTTGAATTGAAGATCAACAACGAAGGGGTGCAATACAAGGAGGATTTCGATGTCCATTACTTGATGGGTAGAATGCCGCTAATTCATCAAAGGGACGATCTCCTGCAGCAATTGAGAAGGTGGTTTTGTGAACAAAACTACATAGACATTGACGTGGAGATGGCCGAAAAATTTCAATTGGTAGAGGAAATAGAAAAAACAGACAGTTCTGGCCAAAAAACGAAAGAACTATGTTTATCAAGTACCGTCGGAGTGGAACATTTCAGGGATCCTAATTTGCAAATGTGGGGTGGTGAACCTGAAAAATACCTATGGAAAGGTAGTCCATACACATCATCCACAAGATGCAGCACAAAAATATGTACGATTTTATTCGTACGTCACTTGGTATTTCTCAGGCTTAGATGAAAAAATTTATCAGGAATTTGTGGATCCCAATAGAACACTGTTTGTGTATACAGATTTGACACAGACACAGATCGTGGGTGGCACAGAAACAGATTTGTTGAGGGAGGTTTCGTTCAACAATTACGAAAACGGAAAATATCTATATAAACCGTTAAATCTACAGTATATACCCATTCGGAAAAATGTGTACACCATAGAAGTGGGATCAGTGAAACCGATGGAACACAGGTAGAATTCAACAGCGGACCGACAATTTTGACAGCTCATTTCAGGAGAAGAGGTGGGCAAAAATCGTAAACGTCATCAGAAAAATTATATTTAAGGCAGTGTAACAATAAAAATAATTCACTTTTATTGCATACAATGGAAGTAATCAATGCTACAGATCATGTATGTAACTGGACAAGTCCTCTTTGTCCTCATTATTATAATACAGTACTTATTATAATACAGTACTTATACAGCGCTATTTCTATTTCTATATTCAATAGCGCTTTACAATTCATTTATAACAATTAACATTTTATATGATCAAAGGCACTTTACAATTAGTGTCTCTTCCACCCATCCCACCCCAGGGGAGGACATCCACCACACAGTAATCTCGTGCGTGGGAAATTAACGTCTCCTACCCCAACCCTGCAGGAGACGGGGCCTACGGTTTTACGTCCTATCCGAGAAGACGAAGCAATGTGAGTAAAGCGTCTTGCTTAAGGACACAACGTCATGCCCCAGCCAGGACTTGAACCCGGGCCGTCGGACCCAGAGTCCAGCACACTGACCACTGGACTACTCACGCCTCATTATGTTTATAATTTTACTAATACTACGGAAAAAGCAAAGGTGGAAGGAAGTCAATCACGTTTCCTAGGGGGATTCTGGGAATGGATCCTCTTTCTGTGCTCCACAAGATTCAATATCGCAATAGTACCGGAGAAATTAACAGATACCGTACAGAGGTGAATGTGAAAGATGTGGTGGAAATGATAGCATTTCTCCATGTTCTCAAAATCATTTGGGAAGAGGATCATATTCCTTGTTTTTACATGGGACAACCGTTAGACCCAACCAAATTCCAGAAATTTGCTGAGAGAATAGAAGTGGAGCACAAGAAAAAAATGACATGTATTGTGGTCTACATTGACGCCGCAATACTATGTAAACGATGCCAACGCGGCTTCCGATGCCTACTTAGATGCAGAATTGGAAGCATTTCAGAAAACTCGGACGAATTCTCATGAAAAACGGGTGGTACTTTCCTGAAACCTGGAAAGCGTACGAACAATTCAAAAAAGAAGACGAATTTTCTGACAAAATTACAGACATCACCAGTTTAGCGCAGCTGAAACAACCCAGACGCTACTGAAAGATGATACCGTACAGTTACACTCAAGTAGGACGTGTACTCACTATGATTATAAATTCTATTATAAAAGAAATCAAACCTACTCTTCGCTGTGTAAATACCCGTTTTAAATATGAGAAGCTATCTAACTCTGTAGATCAATTTACGTTTATTGTAAATGTTCATTCAGATTTAAAAAATAAATAAATACCCCAAGGCTATAAATACGAGTCATGATTTCTTATTTTTTAACATTTTCAAAATACTGAAAAGGAGAGAAAAAAAGCAATCATGAGAGGTGGAGATTTGCGATATTATCAAAAAGGAGATGGATTGTCATATTATCAAAAAGGACGTGGATTAGGTGGAATCTTACGTAATTCCCTTAAAAAGATACAACCTGGTGTCCAATGCGCCTCTGATACTGCTGTAAAAACCGTTGCCAAAAGGACCTTAGGCGTGATAAGTAATTTCCTTGGTGTGAAGAATGTAAAAAGAAAATAAGCAAGAAAGAGAAAGAGAGTTCAAAGAGGTAGTGGATTGGGAGGTATAAGAAGAAGAAAGAGAGCGAGACGTACTGTTGTGGACATTTTTACCTATTAAGAGAGAAACGTACTGCTGGTGACGTGTTTAAAAAAGTATATAAATAATCGAAATAAATCATTTTTACAAAAAAAATCATGGCACGTAGACGTAGAAAAAGACAACGAGGAGGAACGATACCTATTGCGCCAATTATTGCAGGAGCAAAAATGATTGGTAAGAAACTCTTGAAAAGAAGAAGAAATAAACGAAAGGGAACAAGAAGGGTATAAAAAAGAAAGTCCGTGGTTTGCTTCATTTTTTCATAGGAGAGTATGGATGATATTCCTATACACAGAGCTTCTAATCCATTTAGAAATTAAGGACATATGATGAGATTAGCCGGGTCATCGTATGGAAAACGACGTCGGTGACGCGGTCAAGTCGGTGGAGGACGTAGACGATATCGAAAAAGGAGACGACAGAAGGGAGGATCAATATCGGCATTATCTACCAAATTGAAAAATCGATTGATTCCAGGATATAAATTTGCAAAATCTCTCACTGGAAAAGTCACCAAAGCTTTAAATAAGTTATAAAAAAATTCGTTATAAAAAAGCTTTTTTCGTCTACATTTTTCATCATTTGTTCAAAGATGAGCGTCGTGTTTGGGGGCAGTGAGGCCTCCCCGGCCCATATGAAATTGGGTGAGGTCTCTGATGAGGCTTTGGATCTTTTTACCGTTCCACCTACCAACATCACTTACACTGGATACTGTATCGTGGAAATCAATCCGACCAGTAAAAGTATTACCCCTATAGAATTTATGATACCAGGCAGTCGCGAATATATCGATTTTAGTACAAGTTATTTTCGTATGGATTTGACTCTCAAAAAAGCTGATGGAACAAATCTGGCAAGTGCAGATGCACCATGGTTGGCTCCCAATGCATTTCACACTATCATCTAGCAACCTTCCATCTACGTGAATGGAACTTTGACGACAGAACAAACGGACACGTATCCTTACAAAGCTCATCTGGAAACCATCCTTTATTACGGAACCGAAGTTGAGGAAACGTTTCTCAAACTGCAGGAGTATTATTCAGCGCTAGATTATCCAGCTATAACTTTGATGGCCAATGAATTGGACAGGGCAACACCACATGCTGACTACGAAGCATTAATACCAGAACGAAAAGAAGCAGTGAACGGGGCTCTGGATATGAAAGAACGAACCACAGGGGGAAAAACCATTCAATTATTTGGTATGCCTCATGTGGATTTGTTCAATTCAGGTAGAATGCTTATACCAGGAGTCGATCTGAAAATGAGGTTTACCCTCAATGATCCCAAATTCTTCATGAATGGACTGACTTCAGTGACTACAAATGTCGGGCTTCAACAGGGAGATTTGAAAATGAAATTCTTTGCATGTATAGTCAAAGTAAGGTCAGACATGTACAATCACTGGAAAAAAATCTAGATGTGTACTATCCCACTGTGAGATCAGAAATCAGGAACTATACCCTGCAAAACAGAGACAGCATTTTCGAAGCTACAGATGTGTTCAATGGGAGAGTCCCAGACCGTGTGGTGGTAGGGTTAGTCCTTCAAAGATGCTTTTCAGGAGATTACGGCTACAATCCCTTCAATTTCACCAAACACAAAATAAGTAGTATCAAACAGATTGTGGAAGGAGAAGAGTACCTGTGTCAAGCTTTATAACTTAATCCAGCTAATGGTACGCTCGATATGGCAGGGTATCACAGACTTGCCATGGCTAATTACTGTAAGTATAAAGGAAAATGTATGATCAAACCGGAACACTGGGGACACAACAAACATACCACTTTATTCATGTGGGATAATGTGGCTTCTGGATGTGCAGACAGTGTACAATTGAACCCTAAACAGGAAGGACGTGTCAACATCTCAATACGAAAGACATCTGTAGATGAATTAGTGACAGTTATCATTTACGGTGAATTTGAAAACATGTTGCAGATAAAACCCACAGGAAGCACTCAGTACGACATTTACAGTCAAACGATTGCAGGCAGAATCTAAGAAGAGGTCATGGAATTCGTTCCATTAACTACAAAACAGTTATCTTATCTCGCAAAACAAGATCCATGTCTGGCACCTATTTTCGAAGGAGTGTTTGCAGCCGATCAATTACCAGGATTACCAGAACAAAGGAGAAAAAAAGCTTACATCGTCAACACCGACGAAATCAGTAAAGCTGGATCTCATTGGTTAGCTATTTTCGCAAAAAACACACTTGCGAAGTCTTTGACAGTTACGGATTACCATTAAACTGGTTCAAACCATCCGATGTGGTGGAATGGGTTTGCGAAAACTTTGAAAATATAAACAGTAATGCACTGACATTGCAAGAAATGAACGCACAATCGTGTGGACAATATGCATTAATGTATTTGAAAGCTAAAGCTAGAGGTCAAAGCATGCACGATTTCATAAGTTTATTTAAAAAGGGATTTTGTGCACAACGATCATTTGGTGAAAGAAATGATCAAACCATTATTAAATTCAAGAGTTAAAAATCTTAAATGTTGTAAACAAGACAATAGCAGATCTTGTCCATTGAATATATATATAAAACACTTTTTTTCTATTTTACACGCAAAAAATCATGAATCCTTGTAGATCGTTTAGGTTTCACAGCCCGTGCAGCATCATGGTTGTGGGACCTTCTAGTTGCGGTAAAACGGCGTTTGTAGAAAAACTATTGAAAGAAAGAAGTCGATTGTTTACACCACCGTATAATCCGGTAGTCTATTGTTACGGTGCCTATCAACCCACTACGTTTGAAAGATTGAAAAAAGAACAAGGGATCCATTTCTACGAAGGAATTCCAGGTACTGCATTATTGGATAAATGGTACAAGAAAACAGAAGGAGGAGTCTTGGTATTAGACGATCTCATGCGTGAAGGAAGTGACGACAATAGAGTTTACCAGAGAATCACATCACAGAGGTATCAACGTCATTTTCATGACTCAAGATATGTTTCCAAAAGGCAAACATGCCAAAACCATTTCTAGAAATGCACATTACATTGTTGCCTTTAAGAATCCTCGCAATCAATTGGGTGTACGTATTCTGATCAAGTCAATACTCAAAAACAATGTACCAATCTCACCCATCACCATGGCCAGATTAAGACCATTCAAGCAAACCTTGAGGAGAATTGGAAATCGAGCTGTATCGCTAAAAAAGAGAAGACAAGCCTTAATAAATCAGAAAGGTGGAAGATTGTGGAATGGATTAAACACCGTTGTCAAGACTTGTTGCCGATAGAAAAGAGAAAAAAATTTCCTATCAAAAAATGTACATGATTCCAGCCGAAGATCCAACGATGATCAATCTTTTCAAAGGACGATTTGTCGAAGATCCTACACTGGACACAGCGGCCAAACTCATGAGTCGTAAAATGAGTATTTTAAAAAATCCCAAAACAAGTCAAGCCTTCAAAAAGCAAGCTATCAAACAGATTGATCCTGATATAGAACTCAATATCAAAAAATTGAGACAACTTCCAGCGGATCCTAGCAAGTTGGCTAAAGTCTTGGAAGATGAAAAGGAGATTTAGTCACTCCTGTACAGCAGAAATTACTCAAAAGAATTTTAAATCAAGTCACTTTCAAACAAGAACCGACGACCACACCCAGAAGAGCACCCAAAAGAGAATTCGTGACACCGTCTACGATTCCTTTCAAGGTACCCAAGAAAGAAGTTACAGTGACACCTCCCGTCAGGGTCCCCAAAAAAGAAGTCACTGTCACACCTCCCGTCAAGGTACCCAAGAGACCAGGAAATGTGTCATGGGATGAATCAACCTTTGCTCAAAAAGGACCTGAACCAGATCTTGAAGGTGTCGTCAGTAAAACCTTGAGAAAGATCTGGAAAACACCACAATATGTTAAAAACTTAAGACCGGCTAAAGGGTAGACAAGTTGGGATCCTACAGGAATAAGGAAGAAAAAGAAACGTTCTATCTTAAGTTCCATAGGTTTTACAGGCTCTGCTGCTAAAGATTTGGTAGTGAGTAATGCCAGTAGTAGTAGTAGTAGTGGTAGAACAAAAAGAAGAAGAAGTAAAAAGAAAAAAGGAGTTTGGGGTTCAGTGATAAAACCTGAAGGTTCTATTGCCAAAAAGTTGATATTTGATGATGATACATAAAAAAATCATTTTTTAACATGTATTTAAAAAAGAGACATTTGTATAAAAATAAAATTCTTTTTTATTTTTGAAACCCTATGTGTGTTTTTACATTTCATTTTTTACGCAACAACTTCTTTATGTTGTTCATAATACGTAAAAATCTTCATGAGTCTAGCCACAAGTCTAGTCCACTCGATCCTACTGTAGTAAGATTGAAACTTCACAAACTCTATTCTTTTCAATGTTTGATATGTATCATAGTTCACTGGCGGACGAATAGGTATCAACTCATCCATCCTCTCCACGATCTTAAAAAATCTTGCAGCCATGACCACGTCGTTTTGTTTGGCGAAAACAGGCCAGCGTACCCAATTTTCATTCTGTAATTTATACCCCAATTGAATCGATGTCACGAGATGTTGTCTTGTGACGAGCTCCGCCTTGGGATCTGCGCTCTGTTTGATCAGATCGGTTTCCAAATGAAGTTCTTCCTGGATAGTTCTTTGTCGCGTCTTCATCATCATTGAAATGGCTTCTTCCCAAAACACGATCTACAATTTTATATTACACCTGACACCGTTGACATGTGGTATGTCATTGTAGGGGATGGGGGGGTACCCCCTGTCATGTCATACCACATGTCAGCGGGGCATCAGGACACTATATAAGGGGACGCTCCTCATCGATAGAGCACACAATCCACAGTGCTGCGATACAACCCAATTTTTGAAAAGATGGCTAGAAGACGAAGAAAAAGGTATCTTACCCTCTTTTTTACAAAAAAGATGTCTTTTGTATCTATTTCGACAATCTATTTTGTTTCATGTGTAGAAAAATGGCCAGACGCCAAAGCAGACGATTGAGAGATGAATCCCCAGATATTACCCCTGGAGAATACGAATGTTTTGTATGTCACATAAAATCTCCCACATGTTAACGAAGTGTACTACTTCCATGCTGTCAGCAATACGTCCATCGACGTTGCCAAATCATATGGGAAGAACATCACAACACATGTGGATTGTGTCGCGCCATACTATTACAATGCGACGAGCAGCATCGCAACAACAAGCTGAACTGGCCAGACAGGAAATCCTCGAGAGTCGACTCCATGCCGACACCAACCGTATTGCACGCGATGTGTTAAACATGACACGTGAAGAAGTCATCCAGAGACTTCGTACACTGATCGACTCCCCAAACCTGGAAGAACAACTTGGAAGGGTAAGAGATCACATCCCACTTTTCTCCAGTTTTTTAATCGAACGTGTAACCCAACACGTGGATGACATAGAAGTGTACATACGAACTTTCATTTTTGTGATTAATTTTCTCTAGATGCCTAATTTACTTTTAGAAATGATGATATGTTACATGATGACAGCACAAGAAGTAACGTTACGTGTTCGAGAAAGAATTGGATCAGCTCCACTATATGTTTCGTACCAATCAGAAGGGCGTGAATCTGCTTGGATGCAAGAACAATTAGAACTAGGATGTAGAATGTTCCATATAACAATAGATTCTCGTCAAATGGCCGAACTATTTCACGAAATGTTATTAATTCACTTAAATACTCTTTAATTTTCAGACTCATGACCTGATCTTAAGAGAAATTTTAAAATTCAAGTTACATTGCGAAATGGAAACAAATCGTCGTATAAGATTGGAAAATCAAATCATTTTTTTATTCATAAGAACCACACAAGTGCAATATCGTAGTATCACGGTGGATCTAGACCTAGACGAAAATGATTTCACACTTCAAAGTATATTCGAATATTTATATTCCATGTACAGATTGCTTTATCGCTGATAAAAAACATTTTATTTTTCTTAGGTAGAAACCACTTGATTAAGAAGATTTTATTCTTATCTTGGTCTACTCATCACCCTTGGATTTGTCATTTATCAGCGACAAAAAAAATTTTTTTTCTATTTTTTCTTTAGGAATGCACTCCCACCTTAACTGGATATTATTACTTTTGGTGTACCTTGTATGAAACAACACATAATTATTCTCCATCAACCCAATCAGTGCTTCATCGTGAAATCGATAATTTTACTTTACATTACGACAATGATTTTCATCTCGTACTTATAGATCGAATTGTACGAGACTCAGTAACTTTTTAATCTACGATTTTTTTCTATTTTTTTACAGATGACAACTAGGACCTTGTTTTCCATCTTATTTTTCAAAAAAGTTATCGATTACTTAACAGATCTTTGTAGAAGATGGTTCGCTTTAATATATCTAAATTCGTGTGAAGTCATGGGAGATCTAAATTATCGACATATTATGTTGTTCATTTACGCTGCAAAATCCGAATACCATGATTACAATGTTCGGTACATAGAAACAGACTCGCTCATGGTCAATACTTTTTGTATAAAATAGACTGGAATTAACGATGAACCCTATATTATTACTGGCAATGTGTTTCTTCAAAGGTTTTTTCTTGGACCTATTTAATTTTTTATTTATTTCAGAGAAAATACTACGAATTAAAATCGTTACTCTTGTTTCATCTCACCTTGGTCAAGCTCAAAGAACTACAGCGAGAACACTACCCATATATGAACTTTTCAAAATGTACCGTCATAGGTCGAGAAGCGTATAAAAAAATTTGCAACGTAATCTTATCACATTTGACGTGACACCCACATTAAGTTTCTTTTCACGTTGGTCTTACGAAGCCAATTTGTTTTGGGATTATCATCCTCATCAATACAGTTACAAAATTGAATGGAGACGTGATGCCGATTACGCTGAGACTGAAACTCTCACGCATGATTTTTACTTTTTTGAAATTTTTGATACTTAGTTTTTTATTTTTCAGTGTAATGAACGAGATTGCCGATGTTTACTTGCATTTTACGACATCTTAACTCCACTCGAATTGGAACATATGAGACATTTTTTAATTATCATTATCGGACATTCTAATTTCTTAAATATTTGTGAAGATTTAATTTATTTATTCAATCCTAATGTATCGTTTTCACTGTACGAATCTCATTCACCCAGTTATTTCATTTGTTATAATACCACAAATCCACAATCTTTAGCTACCGTTTTAGAAACTGATATCAATCAAATTCAACATTTTACATGATTTTTCTCTTTTT